CTTTTTATTTATTAAAGGGAAAGATTGCATTTCTTATAGAAGACCTGGGGCTGCTAGTGCTGACTTCTGCCTGAAAATGCCAAGTGTCTGGCTGTTCCTGGGCTGTGAGGCGCCGACCCCGGAACAAGCATGCAGCACAGGAAAGCCAAAGGGAGGCCGGGAGCCGTCGTTTGCATTTTTTGTTCTGAATCAGCGACTTACGGGGCGCCGAATAATGTCAGAGCCAGGAAACAAGCATTTTCAGGAGAACAGACAATGGTCGCTCCTAGGCTTTAAATCTGACCTCCGACCTCTCCTTCTGTTGTACCGACTCCTCTCCTGGACTGAAACGGCTGATTTCACCGCACACTGTGAGCGTCTCACAATGTGCATTAGAAGCTGCTGCAGGATGTCCAACATCATCTAGTCTTTCCTCCCCAGCCTGACTGTCCCTGGCCCCGCCCCTTTCAATAATTAGAGCTCCGCCTCAGTTCCTGGCTGACGGACGTCCAGCGTTATCTAGTCTTTCCTCCCCAGCCTGACTGTCCCTGGCTCTCCCCCTTTCAATAATTAGAGCTCCGCCTCAGTTCCTGAATGCAGCACGTCCAACGTCATCTAGTCTTTCCTCCCAACCCTGACTGCCCCTGGCCCTGCCCCTTTCAAAAATTTAGAGCTCCACCTCATTTCCTGGCTGGAGGACGTCCAGCATCATCTAGTCTTTCCTCCCAACCCTGACTGCCCCTGGCCCTGCCCCTTTCAATAATTAGAGCTCCGCCTCATTTCCTGGTTGGAGGACGTCCAACGTCATCCTAGCGCTTTCTTCCCAAGCCTGACTGTCCCTGGCCCCGCCCCTTTCAAAAATTAGAGCTCTCATATATCTATATTGTACCGCGCTCCAAAATTAATAAATCTAAGTGCTCTAAATAAATAAATAAATAAATATTGTATATAACTAAAAATTCAATAATAATCTATATCCATAATACTTGAATCCATAATTGAAGTGAATCAAAAAAATGTCATTAATATTTGTAAATCAATGCAAAAAAACTGCGTGCCTGAAAAACTATTCAAAAGTGAAAAAATATATAATGATATATAATGAAAATATAAAAAATAGTTCAGTTCATACGAATTGAGATGGTAATGTGAATCAATCTGATTGGCGTGGTAAGTCTATGTTCATGACATGAACCTCTCTCTCCTTCCTCCTCTCCTTTCTCCTCAATTCAGCTTTTCTCAATTAGGATTTTCTCCTCTATCTGCTTGGCTTATTCCTCCATGAACGATACATACATAGAAAAAGGAAAAAGAAACATAGTGTCTTATCCTGAGTAAAAATGTTTAATGAGCTTCTGATCTCCCACTCACATGGTATCAGCAAAAGTAACGCTTTTGTGTAAATAAATCCAGGTCCTCCTGCAAACAGCCCTGCAGGTGTGTGTGTGTTCACTCGCTATACTCGCCGTTTCCTCTGTGGATGCGTGATGACGTCACCGCCCCTCCCCTACGCGTTACGCTACAGGGACTCGTAGCTTCCTCTGGGGGATGTAGTTTTACATGTCATCCTGCACCGAAGGTTATATATATCCTACCGACGCCATTTTTGCTATGATATAATCGTTCTTGATGCCCCCTCCATATTAAAGGAGTCCAAATTGAACCACAATTTTAACAATGTTATATATATTAATAGTGCGCCTCTTCATCCTCCGGCTGCATATCGAATGCTTCCACACACACCTTTCACAATTGGGATTGCAAACTCCTACTTTTACATCGCCATAAAGATAATGATAATCATTACTATAATCTCCACAATTTTCATACCATATCTCCATAATAAACATTTTAATTCATTTATAAACATTTTTAATAGAAATAACCTTAAAATGAATATGACAATAACTAATTTAATAATATGCTAAAATATTAAAATAAAATAAAAATAAAAAAAATAAAAAATATAAAATATAAATAAAAAATAAAATAAAAAAATATATAAAAATAAAAATAAAAATAAAAATGAAAAATAAAAGTAAAAAAAAATAAAAAAAATAAAAATATAAATAAAAATAGACATAAGAAATAAAAATAAAAATAAAAATAAAAAAATAAAATAAAAAGAAAATAAAAATAAAAATGAAATAAAAATAAAAATAGAAATAAAAATAAAAAATATAAATATATTATTTTATTTTTTATTTTTATTTTTATTTTTATTTCTTATGTCTATTTTTATTTTTATTTTTTTTTTACTTTTATTTTTCATTTTTATTTTTATTTTTATATATTTTTTATTTTTATTTTTTATTTATATTTTATATTTTTTATTTTTTATTTTTATTTTTATTTTATTTTAATATTTTAGCATATTATTTAAATTAGTTATTGTCATATTCATTTTAAGGTTATTTCTATTAAAAATGTTTATAAATGAATTAAAATGTTTATTATGGAGATATGGTATGAAAATTGTGGAGATTATAGTAATGATTATCATTATCTTTATGGCGATGTAAAAGTAGGAGTTTGCAATCCCAACTGTGAAAGGTGTGTGTGGAAGCATTCGATATGCAGCCGGAGGATGAAGAGGCGCACTATTAATATATATAACATTGTTAAAATTGTGGTTCAATTTGGACTCCTTTAATATGGAGGGGGCATCAAGAAACGATTATATCATAGCAAAAATGGCGTCGGTAGGATATATATAACCTTCGGTGCAGGATGACATGTAAAACTACATCCCCCAGAGGAAGCTACGAGTCCCTGTAGCGTAACGCGTAGGGGAGGGGCGGTGACGTCATCACGCATCCACAGAGGAAACGGCGAGTATAGCGAGTGAACACACACACACCTGCAGGGCTGTTTGCAGGAGGACCTGGATTTATTTACACAAAAGCGTTACTTTTGCTGATACCATGTGAGTGGGAGATCAGAAGCTCATTAAACATTTTTACTCAGGATAAGACACTATGTTTCTTTTTCCCTTTTCTATGTATGTATCGTTCATGGAGGAATAAGCCAAGCAGATAGAGGAGAAAATCCTAATTGAGAAAAGCTGAATTGAGGAGAAAGGAGAGGAGGAAGGAGAGAGAGGTTCATGTCATGAACATAGACTTACCACGCCAATCAGATTGATTCACATTACCATCTCAATTCGTATGAACTGAACTATTTTTTATATTTTCATTATATATCATTATATATTTTTTCACTTTTGAATAGTTTTTCAGGCACGCAGTTTTTTTTGCATTGATTTACAAATATTAATGAAATTTTTTTGATTCACTTCAATTATGGATTCAAGTATTATGCAATTATGAATTTAAGTATTATGGATATAGATTATTATTGAATTTTTAGTTATATACAATATTTATTTATTTATTTAGAGCACTTAGATTTATTAATTTTGGAGCGCGGTACAATATAGATATATGAAATTAACATCCATACACCTGGAGAGGGTGTAAAAAGTACCTGGCAATCTAAATACTTAATTATTTAATCAAGCACGTCAATTGATTTATTAGTCGTTCACTTTATTCATAAATTCAATATTATTAGTATTTTTATACACTGAATTTATTGCTTTATAAGTAAGAAAACTTCTAGTGGCTCACAAGTATTTCATTAATTTGCATTTTTGAAAAATTAGAGCTCTGCTTCAGTTCCTGGCTGGAGGACGTCAAGCATCATCTAGTCTTTCCTCTCCATCCTGACTGTCCCTGGCCCCGCCCCTTTCAATAATTAGAGCTCCGCCTCATTTCCTGGCTGACGGACGTCCAGCGTCATCTAGTCTTTCCTCTCCATCCTGACTGTCCCTGGCCCTGCCCCTTTCAATAATTAGAACTCCGCCTCAGTTCCTGGCTGGAGGACGTCCAGCGTCATCTAGTCTTTCCTCTCCATCCTGACTGTCCCTGGCCCTGCCCCTTTCAATAATTAGAACTCCGCCTCAGTTCCTGGCTGGAGGATGTCCAGCGTCATCTAGCACTTTCCTCCCCAGCCTGACTGTCCCTGGCCCCGCCCCTTTCAATAATTAGAGCTCCACCTCAGTTCCTGGCTGGAGGACGTCCAGCGTCATCTAGCCATTTCCTCCCCAGCCTGACTGTCCCTTGCTCTCCCCCTTTCAATAATTAGAGCTCCGCCTCATTTCCTGGCTGGAGGATGTCCAACATCATCTAGCTCTTTCCTCCCCAGCCTGACTGTCCCTGGCCCTGCCCCTTTCAATAATTAGAGCTCCGCCTCATTTCCTGGCTGCAGATTGTATACAGTGTAACTAAAGCCAATTTATATATTTTTGGATAGAGTAAGGAAGCGGTTAGAACCCCTGTAAAGTTTTGATCGCTGTGCCCCTGCTGGTGAGATTTGGGATGTACATGTCCCGGTGACCACTGTCAGAAACGTATGAGAAATCCAAAATATTGTGGCTGCCACCAGAACAGGAAAGAAGGAGAAATCTGCCAATGGGGAACAACCAGGTAAAAGTGGATTTCTCCCCACTTTGGAGAGATTTCCCTTCACTTCCTAATGTTGAGCCCCCGAAACGCGTTGGGTTTGCCTGCTGATCTATTAGTACATCTATACTGGGGGGGTCTTCCCTCTTGAGGACGAAGTATTGTTGTCAGCCTTGCTCTAAAATGGTTTTAAAAAAAATATTTTTGTACAATAAATATTGATTGATTATAAATCAGAGCGTTTGAGACATTTATGGTATGCAATCCCTTCACAATTATTTGTTTTGGTTGGTGATACTCTAAGGGGTCTATTTACAAAAAAATACACCGTGTGGATGTCGCCTACATTTGCACAGGAATGGCGGTCACATTATTTTTAATATGATTATCTCCTATGATCACCAGCTCCATCTAGTGGCCATTTGGAGGTATTGTTCTGAAATATCTTAATAGAAAAAACAGTACCACATTGTGGCCGCTAGATGGAGCCGTTGCTGAGCCAATGAAATGATCTGCCCGCTCTTGTCTTTTCCTCATGGGCATGGTCTGTCTTTTCAGGTATGATCCAAGCTCTGGGCGGCTTCTTCACCTACTTTGTCATCCTGGCGGAAAACGGCTTTCTGCCGGCCCGGTTGCTTGGGATCCGATTGGACTGGGACGATCGCTCAATGAACGATGTGGAAGACAGCTACGGACAAGAGTGGGTAAGTACGGAAAGGCCTAAAACCAGGGGCGGACTGACAACTTATGGGGCCCCCCGGGCAATAGGGGATCATGGGGCCCCTGTGTCCTTGCCCAAACTCAAAAAAGCCTATGAAAAAGGTACCAGGGGCATCTCATGGGCCCCCTACTGATCCCGGGTTTCCAAATGGTCAGTCCGCCCTGCCTACAACCCGTCAACTCAATGGTGGAGCACATTAGAGGCGGAGCTAACATGGACCAACCACGGTCCAACAGCCATTTGTCTCGGGGTTTCTTCCATTTGTAAAAATTGCAAATTATTTATTCTATTTTTCTTTCTATTGCAATATGATTGGAATGATTGATTGGTTAATTGATTGGTTAATTGATTGATTAATTGATTGGATTTCCACGTGCTCATCCCCTGCCTGGATGATATGGGCGACCCCCATTTTTGATGTTTTCGTACATCAGCGCCATTTTTTTTTTTTTTTTGCAAATTATTCATTCTGTTTTTTTTTTCTATTGCAATATAATTGGAATGATTGATTGGGTTAATTGATTGATTAATTGATTAGATTTCCAAGTGCTTATCCCCTGCCTGGACGATATGGGCGACCCCCATTTTTGATGTTTTCGTACATCAGCGCCATTTTGTTTTTTTTTGCAAATTATTCTATTTTTTTTCTATTGCAATATAATTGGAATGATTTATTGATTGATTAATTGATTGATTAATTGATTGGATTTCCAAGTGCTCATCCCCTGCCTGGACGATATGGGCGACCCCCATTTTTGATGTTTTCGTACATCAGCGCCATTTTGTTTTTTTTTTTGCAAATTATTCTATTTTTTTTCTATTGCAATATAATTGGAATGATTTATTGATTGATTAATTGATTGATTAATTGATTGGATTTCCAAGTGCTCATCCCCTGCCTGGACGATATGGGCGACCCCCATCTTTGATGTTTTCGTACATCAGCGCCATTTTGTTTTTTTTTTTGCAAATTATTCATTCTATTTTTTTTTCTATTGCAATATAATTGGAATGATTGATTGGTTAATTGATTGATTAATTGATGATTTCCAAGTGCTTATCCCCTGCCTGGACGATATGGGCGACCCCCATTTTTGATGTTTTCGTACATCAGCGCCATTTTGTTTTTTTTTGCAAATTATTCTATTTTTTTTCTATTGCAATATAATTGGAATGATTTATTGATTGATTAATTGATTGATTAATTGATTGGATTTCCAAGTGCTCATCCCTGCCTGGACGATATGGGCGACCCCCATCTTTGATGTTTTCGTACATCAGCGCCATTTTGTTTTTTTTTTGCAAATTATTCATTCTATTTTTTTTTCTATTGCAATATAATTGGAATGATTGATTAATTGATTGGATTTCCACGTGCTATCCCCTGCCTGGACGATATGGGCGACCCCCATTTTTGATGTTTTTGTACATCAGCGCCATTTTTTTTTTTGCAAATTATTCATTCTATTTTTTTTTCTATTGCAATATAATTGGAATGATTGATTGGTTAATTGATTGATTAATTGATTAGATTTCCAAGTGCTTATCCCCTGCCTGGACGATATGGGCGACCCCCATTTTTGATGTTTTCGTACATCAGCGCCATTTTGTTTTTTTTGCAAATTATTCATTCTGGTTTTTTTTCTATTGCAATATAATTGGAATGATTGATTGGTTAATTGATTGATTGATTGGATTTCCACGTGCTTATCCCCTGCCTGGATGATATGGGCGACCCCCATTTTTGATGTTTTCGTACATCAGCGCCATTTTGTTTTTGAAAATTATTAATTCTATTTTTTTTCTATTGCAATATGATTGGAATAATTGATTGGTTAATTGATTGATTAATTGATTGGATTTCCACGTGCTCATCCCCTGCCTGGACGATATGGGTGACCCCCATTTTTGATGTTTTCGTACATCAGCGCCATTTTGTTTTTGTTTTTTTGCAAATTATTCATTCTATTTTTTTTCTATTGCAATATAATTGGAATGATTTATTGATTAATTGATTGGATTTCCACGTGCTTATCACCTGCCTGGACGATATGGGTGACCCCCATTTTTGATGTTTTCGTACATCAGCGCCATTTTGTTTTTTTTTTTGCAGACCTACGAACAGAGGAAGGTGGTAGAATTCACGTGTCACACGGCGTTCTTCTCCAGCATTGTGGTGGTCCAGTGGGCCGATTTGATCATCTGTAAGACCAGAAGGAATTCCGTCTTCCAGCAAGGCATGAAGTAAGAACGTTGGTGGGCGGGGCATGAAAAAAATGACCCATAGCCTAAAAATGGACTTACAGTCAAATTTTTTTTTTTTTTTGGGGGGGGTTATATTTACATTTTTGTAATGACAGCAGCATGGGGGACGGGCTTTGATTATATTTCTGGTGACCTCTAACCACACCCGTCTCTCCCCAGGAACAAGATTTTGATATTTGGGCTCCTTGAAGAGACCGCGCTTGCTGCTTTCCTGTCCTACTGCCCAGGGATGGACGTGGCCCTCCGAATGTACCCTCTGAAGTGAGTAGATCCCAGTCCCCACAGGGGCTCTTGCGTAGAAGGAACGAGAGGAGGCACCTGCCTTTCCTGGTGGCCCATGTTATTATATTGCTACTGCGTTGCTCCTTCCCGGCCGCTGTACATATTTCACGCTTCTGTACATTTCCTGCTCCCCTGCAGCACACTGTGGTTTCTTCCTCTGTCTTGTACCTCACTGCCCCATAGGAAGGAACCATGGCACACTATTGGTTAGACAGGTATTTGACCCACCAAAAGGGTCAAACACATGCAGTAGTCAAGGGACGGGGCACTTGAAAGGTAAGTACAGTGAAGGAAATGTGTATTTGCTACCCTGCTGATGTTGAATGTTCGCCCCTCACAAAGAAATGATCGGTCTACAAATGGAATGTTCGGTGTATTGTAACACTGAGAGACAGAATACAACAACAAATTCAGCAGAAATGCGTCTAGCAAATGATGACTGATCTGCATGTTCATGAGGGAAAGAAGGATTTGATCCCCTTCACAAAACATGACTTAGTACTTGGTGGCAAATCCCTTGTTGGCCATCACAGAGGTCAGATGTTTCCTGTAGTTGGCCCCCAGGTTCGCACACATCTCAAGAGGGATTTTGGCCCACTGCTCTTGGCAGATCCTCTCCAAGTCATTAAGGTTTGGTGGCTGACGTTTGGCAACTCGAACTTTCAGCTCCCTCCACAGATTTTCAATCGGCTAGGCCACTCCAGGACCTTAATGTGCTTCTTCTTGAGCCACTCCTTTGTTGCCTTGGCCGTGTGTTTTGGGTCATTGTCATGCTGGAACACCCATCCACCACCCATTTTCAGTGCCCTGGCTGAGGGAAGAAGGTTCTCACCCAAGATTTGAGGGTACATTGCCCCATCCATCGTCCTTTTGATGCGGTGCAGTTGTCCTGTCCCCTAAGCAGAAAAACCCCCCAAAGCAGAATGTTTCCACCACCATGTTTCACAGTTGGGATGGTGTTCTTGGGGTCATAGGCAGCGTCCTCCTCCTCCAAACACGGCGAGTTGAATTGATGCCAAAGAGCTGGATTTTGGTCTCATCTGACCACAACACTTTCCACCAGTCCTCCTCTGCATCATTCAGATGTTCAGTGGCAGACTTCAGACGGGCCTGGACATGGGCTTTCTTGAGCAGAGGGACCTTGTGGGCACTGCAGGATTTCAGTCCTTGTCGGCGTAGTGTGTTACCAATTGTTTTCTTGGTGACTGTGGTCGGTCCCAGCTGCCTGGAGATCATTGACAAGATCCTCAGGTGTAGTTCTGGGATGATTCCTCACTGTTCTCATGATCATTGACACTCCACGAGGTGAGATCTTGCATGGTGCACCAGACCTAGGGAGACTGACACTTGTTTTGTGTTTCTTCCATTTGTGAATGATTGCACCAACTGTTGTCACCTTCTCACCAAGCTGCTTGGCCATAGTTTGGTAGCCCAGTCCAGCCTTGTGTAGGTCTACAATCTTGTCCCTGACATCCTTGGACAGCTCTTTGGTCTTTGCCATGGTGGAGAGTTTAGAATCTGATGGTTTGATTGGCTCCTGTGGACAGGTGTCTTTTATACAGGTAACACAATGAGATTGCAGCACTCCCTTTAAGAGACTGCTTCTAATCTTAGCTTGTTACCTGTATGAAAGACACCTGGGAGCCAGAAATCCTGCTGAATGATAGGGGATCAAATCCTTCTTTCCCTCATGAACATGCAGATCCGTCATCATTTGTTAGACGCATTTCTGCTGAATTTGTTGTTGTTATTCTGTCTCTCAGTGTTACACCGAACATTCGATTGTTAGACCGATCATTTCTGTGTGAGGGGCGAACATTCCATTGTTAGACCGATCATTTCTGTGTGAGGGGCGAACATTCCATTGTTAGACCGATCATTTCTGTGTGAGGGGCGAACATTCAACATCAGCCGGGGAGCAAATACGCATTTCCTTCACTGTATATTGCCTCTACAGTTTGTTCTTTCTACATAAGCGTGATCCCAGACATGGCCCCAACCTATAAGGAGAAGCCACATGGCGATGAGTTAATTTCGGGCTTTTCCTTCTATATACATAATATGTTTGATAGGTAAAGCAGAACCCCGGCCAAAAATTTAAATATAAAAAAAACCCAGATGCATTATGGACCGTCAGTGCAGAGATTTCCCCCGCAGTACTTTTTTCTGCCTCTAGATGTCCTCAGTCTGATAACCAGCATCATTCAACACAGTTTGTCTGAGCTGAGATGATCCCGGACGCACCCCCAACCTAATAGAAGCAGCACAGCGATGAGTTCATCTCGGGCTGTTTCTTCTATATAAGTAATAGGTAGGTAGGTAAAGGTAAAGGAGAACCCCAGCCAAAAATTAAAAATATTAAAAAAAACTCAGCTGCAATATGGACCTTCAATGCAGAGATTTCCATCCCCCCCAGCAGTACTTTTTCTGCCACTGGACATCTTCAATCCGATAACCAGGATCATTCAACACAGTTCTGAGTCCAGATCATCCCGGACGAGCACCCCCAACCAAAAAGGAGAAGCAGCGCGGTGATGAGTTCAGCTCAGGCCTGTTCTATATAAGTAATATGTTTCGATAAGTAAAGCAGAACCTCATCCAAAAATGAAAATATAAAATTAAATTCCGCTGCATTATGGACCTGCATTGCTGTGATTTCTTTTTTTCTGCCACTGAATGTTCCCTGATGACCACAGTCATTGAACCCAGTTCCTCTGAATCCAGATCCTCCCGGACGAGCCCCCAACCTAAAAGGAGAAGCAGTACAACAATGAGCTCGTCTCCTCGTCACTCTGCTCTCTCCTCCCATCAGCATGCTTCTTGCTAGAGCATGAACTGATCAGTTCCTTGTGCTGCTTCTTCCTCTCAGACTCCTGCTCTGCTGTACCACAACTGCAATAGGCTGACACCAGGTCAGGGTCAGGTACTTACACCGCTGGCACGTTTAATGATGTATTAATGATCACAGAGCTGCATGAAATCTTTCCGGAGTTCTGCTTTAAATAGTCTTTGGAGATCAGAACCAGGGGCGGACTGACCATTTGGAAACTCGGGCACTGCCCGAGGGCCCGAGGTCAGTAGGGGGCCCCATGAGATGCCCCTAGTACCTTTTTAATAGGCTTTTTTGAGTTTGGGCAAGGACACAGGGGCCCCATGATTCCTTAATTGCCTCGGGGCCCCATGAGTTGTCGGTCCGCCCCTGGTCGGAACGTAAGGCCAAAAGAGGAACAAGAGGATTTGATCCTAAAAGCGGGGGAAAGTCCCTCCACACAAGGGACAGTTGGGTGCCAGGCAGAGGCAGACTGAGCATTTGGGTGTACGGGCACTGCCCGAGGGCCCAGGTTCAGTAGGGGGCCCCATCAGATGCCCCTAGTACCTTTCATAGGCTTTTTTGGGTGTGGTTTGAGTGTGGGTGAGGACACAGGGGCCCCATGATCCCCTATTGCCCGGGGGGCCCCATGAGTTGTCAGTCCGCCCCTGGTGCCAGGATGTATACCTGGTGGATTCTGTAGAGAGGCTTACTAATGCCTCCTTGGTGCAGTTACCAGTATGTCCAGCAGGGGGTGCTGCTAGTTTACTACAGTGACAGTACACTCCACAAATCCAAATATTCGCTGCATGGATTGGCTGCGTATCATTCATCAGGACTCAGGCGTATTGCAGAGCGCGCCATGAGACAGATATGAAGGACCTTCTGCACGTACATCCTGTATAATACAAAGACAATATTCTCTATGCAGGCTCTAATCATGTCAAACACCCACAAGGCAGCCCATGCGATCTGTACATAGGATGGAAAGGGTTGTGTAGGAAATCTGTAACAAATGCATGAAAGAGACTTTTCTTTACATTCCTCCCGTGACAGGGTGACGTGGTGGTTCTGTGCCTTCCCGTACAGCTTACTGATCTTCGTGTATGACGAAGTGCGCAAATTGATCCTGCGCCGTGACCCTGGAGGTAAGAACGATTGACACTCGGATCTCTCCTCCAGACACAGTGGAACACCGATCATCGTACGGGACCTTACAAATTTACATAATTGGTGTCAGTGGAAGGAATAATACCCCATAATTGGTGTCACTAGGAGGAATAGTGCCCCATCACTTGGTGTCAGTGGGAGGAATAGTGCCCCATCACTTGTGTCAGTGGGAGGAATAGTGCCCCATCATTGGTGTCAGTGGGAGGAATAGTGCCCCATCATTGGTGTCAGTGGGAGGAATAGTGCCCCATCATTGGTATCAGTGGGAGGAATAGTGTCCCATCATTGGTATCAGTGAGGGGAATAGTGCCCCATCATTGGTGTCAGTGGGAGGAATAGTGCCCCATCATTGGTATCAGTGGGAGGGATAGTGCCCCATCATTGGTATCAGTGGGAGGAATCGTGCCCCATCATTGGTGTCAGTGGGAGGAATAGTGCCCCATCATTGGTGTCAGTGGGAGGAATAGTGCCCCATCATTGGTATCAGTGGGAGGAATAGTGCCCCATCATTGGTGTCAGTGGGAGGAATAGTGCCCCATCATTGGTGTCAGTGGGAGGAATAGTGCCCCATAACTTGTGTCAGTGGGAGGAATAGTGCCCCATCATTGGTATCAGTGGGAGGGATAGTGCCCCATCATTGGTATCAGTGGGAGGAATCGTGCCCCATCATTGGTGTCAGTGGGAGGAATAGTGCCCCATCATTGGTGTCAGTGGGAGGAATAGTGCCCCATCATTGGTGTCAGTGGGAGGAATAGTGTCCCATCATTGGTGTCAGTGGGAGGAATAGTGCCCCATCATTGGTGTCAGTGGGAGGAATAGTGTCCCATCATTGGTGTCAGTGGGAGGAATAGTGCCCCGTCATTGGTATCAGTGGGAGGAATAGTGCCCCGTCATTGGTGTCAGTGGAAGGAATAGTGCCCTATCATTGGTATCAGTGAGAGGAATAGTGCCCCATCATTGGTATCAGTGGGAGGAATATCTGTCTTTGGTGACAGTGGAAGGGATGGTGCCTCGTATCAGTGGACTGCCCCCAGAACCAGATATAGGCAAGCAAAGGGCCACATTTCGGAGACCCGTGCATAAAGCAGATTATTCACAACAGCTGTGTGAATACAGAAATCATGCGCGCAGTGAATGCTCGATAACTAGACCCCCTAAGGCATTTTATCTGTCATGACCAGGGGGGGGGGGGGGGGGGGGGGGTGGATGGTGTCAGTAAATGTTCTACTTTATAAAAAGCACTTCTCTATCTTCTCTTGAACGCCGACTAACTCTGCAGTAGTTCCTGATTATGTTCCTTCTTACGTTTCCAGGATGGGTGGAGAAAGAGTCGTACTATTAAGGACTTGGCATGCCAGGAAGGAACCATCTGAGAAGGAAGAATGCCGATGCCGTGGATTAGTCGGTTTCATAATACCCTAAGCATTAGTTTATTTTAACCTGCTGTGTAAGCTCGGGGGGTGGGGGGGAGGGGAAAGGTTGATGACACCAGCGGGGGACGTAAGTGGTCAAGTCAGCTTATCCTTTTTGGTCGAAGTTTTGAAAGCTTCCCGATCTTTGCAAAAGGTCCACTTTAGCCTTTCAAGAAATTGTAGGTACGGCACAGAAACTGGGGGGGGGGGTTTTTTTTTTTTTCTTTTCCAAATCTGCACCTCATTCACCGAAAAAATTGTAACAATACTCCAACCGAATCCACCGTCGATATTGCATGATCTCCTAAATATTTGATGTTCGTTGAAGTCTATCTAAAGCCAAAGTTTTGGATGAAGTGTGGAAGAATGGCTACTCGGGAGATTCGCCCTTTTCTTTTCGTCCTGGTGGCCACCGTCATAGAGACATCACGTGGCTGGAAGCCCAAAAATTCCATAGCTGGAGGTGGCCACGTAGCGTTTCCCTTTGGCTTTGAAGAGATTTTCTTCCTGTTGTCCTGACAGATGACGAAGGAAAATCTCCCTGAGGGGACACGCACAGAAAAAAAAATACCAACTCTTCACCAATCCAAAATTTTTCAAAAAATTACTTTAGATACACTTTAATGGGAACTGCATGAGGGACCGTCATGGGCCAACGTTGAAGTCCTCTACTTAACGAAACTGGGTGTCCGATGGATGAAACACCACTAAGGTTTAAAAAAAAATGGTTGGAACCGTTTCTCAAAGTGAATCGGTCAAACAGGAGGACTTCCAGTCGCCATCATCCATTGGATATTCTATGCCGCCAAGTGAAGCATTTTCAGAACGTTCTTGAGTGTCTCTTAGCTGCCACTTTTTAAATCCCTAGGATGGTTCAGAAGTTGAGTTGGTTGTTCAATTCCTTGATTGGACAAGCTTCTTCCATGGTTGAGGCCTAGGAAACCGTACACATACCTGCCGGTCTCAGTAAGTATTCAATAATACGGTAGGCTCAGGAGATGGAAGAAACGCTCGGTTCACCCACCCGTTGAGTTGCTTGTTCAACTCTTTGATTGGACAACCTTCTTCCATGGTTGAGGCCTTGTAAACCATACACATACCTACTGGTCTCAATAAGTAACCAATAATATTGTAGTCTCAGGAGATGGAAGAAATGCTTAGTTCACCCACCCGTTGAGTTGCTTGTTCAATTCCTTGATTGGACAACCTTCTTTCATGTTTGAGGCCTAGGAAACCGTACATATACCTACTGGTCTCTGTAGCTAAGTAACCAATAATACGGTAGACTCAGGAGATGGAAGAAACGCTCAGTTCACCCACCCATTGAGTTGCTTGTTCAACTCTTTGATTGGACAACCTTCTTTCATGGTTGAGGCTCAGGAGATGGAAGAAACGTTCGGTTCACCCACTCGTTGAGTTACTTGTTCAACTCTTTGATTGGACAACCTTCTTCCATGGTTGAGGCCTAGGAAACCTGTACACATACCTGCCAGTCTCAGTAAGTATCCAATAATACGGGAGGCTCAGGAGATGGAAGAAAAGCTCGGTTCACCCACCCGTTGAGTTGCTTGTTCAACTCTTTGATTGGACAACCTTCTTCCATGGTTGAGGCCTAGGAAACTGTACATCATACCTGCCAGTCTCAGTAAGTATCCAATAATTTGGGAGGCTCAGGAGATGGAAGAAACGCTTGGTTCACCCACCCATTGAGTTGTTTGTTCAATTCTTTGATTGGACAACCTTCTTCCATGGTTGAGGCCTTGTAAAACCATACATATACCTACTGGTCTCAGTAAGTAACCAATAATATAGAAGGCTTAGGAGATGGAAGAAACGCTCGGTTCACCCACCTGTTGAGTTGCTTGTTCAACTCTTTGATTGGACAACCTTCTTCCATGGTTTAGGCTTAGGAAACCGTACACATACCTACTGGTCTCAGCAAGTAACCAATAATATGGTAGGCTCAGGAGATGGAAGAAATGCTCAGTTCACCCACCCATTGAGTTGTTTGTTCAACTCTTTGATTGGACAACCTTCTTCCATGGATGAAGCCTAGGAAACCATACACATACCTACTGAACTCCGTAAGTAACCAATAATGTGGAAGCCTCAGGAGATAGAAGAAACGCTCCGTTGAACAACAACCCCTTGAGTTGGTTGATCAGTTCTCTGACTGGACAACTTCCTTCCATGGTTGAGGCCTCAAGACCCACACACATACCTGCCGGTCAATATAGAAACCTCCAAAGATGGAAGAAACACTCAGTTCACCCCCCACTTTTGACATTTCAGACCACATTGACCGCATTGGGTGGAGTTATCAAGGGAAAGGGCACTCCCCATTCAGTAAATGTCCCCCTTGGCGGTGTATTAAAATCCAATAATGATCGTGATTGACGTCTTCCTTAAAGGGTAGCTGTAAGGATCGAAAAATATAGGACCTACCATGGCTGATTTAGTTTACAGGGACTGTAGGCTCCAGGGAAGCTAAGCCAGATATGGCACCTCCAATTTTCTTTCCTGGCAGAGGTGGCAGCCATTTTTTTTTAAAACCCAACTCGTATTTCGAGAATCGATTTGCTAAGCCGTCCGTGATGTCAGTAGGTTCTTCTGTTAGGTCCACAATTCCCTGGAAGTTCACAGGCAGAGCCATTGTTCAAGTGACAAAATGGCGGCCGTCACGCCGATGATGGGTATGCATTCAACTATCAAGGATGACCCGGTGCCCCCTGTTCCTTCTAGGTGATCCATACAGTGTCTTGCCTTACTTTTTACTGTCCTATATAACCCTGTACTTTATATAACGTTTGTTTGTAAAGACTACCTTGTCACATTTATAGAGTCTTGGCTGTTTTTTTTTTTTTGCGCCGTTGACCACCAGTCCGCCCCACTGGAAAACCTGGAAAACTGGGAACCCCTGCATGCAAAGCATAGGAGAAATTCTCAGACACGCCCACTTCAGCCTCCTCACTCTCCCGTACACAAATTCTCACATTCACTTTACAGATAATTCTTCAGGGGATGAGGAGCTCTGGATCAGTCCAGGTGTATATGAAAGGTTCAATTGTTTTTATGTTGGAATCAATTGGCAACTCTGTGGCCCCTTTCACACGGGTTCCGTATGTTTTCATCAGTCTGTTTACGGATGAAAAAAACGCCGCCCCCCCCCCCCCCCCGTATATTTCTATGGACTAGCGGATGTAAACGGAGGATCGAAAAATGAATGTAAATGGATGAAAACAGATGTACACAGAAGAGAAAAACAGATGTATATGGATGAAAAACCGGATGTAAACAGATGAAAATGGATGAAAAATGGATGTAAACGGATGTACACAGATGAAAACAGAGGATCATCTGTTTATATCCGTTAATGTCCGCATCCGTTAACATCCGTTTTTTGAATGGAAGAAAAGCCAATTCTCTTCCTTTATAAAAAGAAACAGAACAGACAAAAAACAGATGTAAATAGGTGAAAACCGATGTAAACGGATGAAAACAGATGTAAACTGACAAAAATGGATCTAAGCGGATGTAAATGGATGCAAAATGGAGGTAAAACGGAGGAAAACGGACGGAAAAAAAAACCGATGTAAACTGACAAAAACGGGTGTAAACAGATGAAAACATATGTAAACGGATGAAAACATATGTAAATGGCCGAAAAACGTATGTAAACTGACAAAACGGATGTAACCATGAAAACGGCTGAAAAACAGATGTAAACGGATGAAAAATGGATGCAAATGGATGAAAACGGATGTAAAAAGACAAAAAAACTGATGCAAATGGATGAAAACGGATGTACATGGACAGAAAAATGGATGTAAATGGATGTACACAGATGAAAAACGGATGTAAATGGATGAAAATGGATGTACACGGACAAAAAAAAAGGATTTTAAATGGAGGAAAACGAATGTACACGGATGAGCAATGGATATACACAGATGAAAAACATGGACAAAAACAGATGTACTTGGACAAAAACGGATGTAAACGGATGTACGCAGATGAAAAATGGATGTAAACAGACAAAAATGGATGAACACGGGTGAAAAACAGATGTAAATAGACAAAAATGGATGTACATGGACGAAAACCAGATGTAAACGGATAAAAAACAGATATACACGGCCAAAAAACAGATGCTGATCGATTAAAACGGATGTACATGGATGAAACATGGATGTAAACGGACAAAAACAGATGTACACGGATGAAAAACAGATGTAAATGGATGAAAACGGATGTACACGGATGAAAAATGGATGTTAATGGATTAAAACAGATGTACATGGACAAAAAAAATGGATGTAAACAGACAAAAACAGATGTACATGGATGAAAAACGGATGTAAATGGATGAAAATAGATGTAAATGGACGAAAACTGATGTAAAAGGACAAAAACGGATGTACACAGCCGAAAAAAGGATGTAAATGGATGAAAACGGATGAACATGGACGAAAAAAGGATGTAAATGGATGAAAACGGATGTACATGGACGAAAAACAGATGTACACATACGAAAAACGGATGTAAATGGATGTACACGGATGGAAAATGGATGTAAATGGATGTAAACAGATGTACATGGATGAAAACGGATGTGGATGGATGAAAAACATGTAAAGGGATGAAAAACGGATGTAAACAGATGAAAACGGCCAAAAAAGGATGTAAATGAATGAAAACAGATGTAAACGGGCGGAAAACAGATGTAAATAGACAAAAAATGGATGTAAACGGACAAAAATGGATGTAAATGGACAAAAACGGAGAAAAAAAACGGATGTAAACGAATAAAAAACGGATGTAAACGGATGAAAAACTGATGTGAACTGATCCAATTTTTCTTGGAAAAAAACGTGACTGAACCGATGGAAAAAAAAAAAAACGGAACGCCCGCGTGAAAGGGGCCTATGGA